AGGGTTTGCCTTCCCTCTTCCTTTTTTCGATCCCGCTTTCAGTCCTTTGATTGATCTCCTCCTCTGTTCTTATGAATTTGTCCGCGAGCTTGAGGAATTCAGCTACGGTCGCGGGCTAGTTGACTACCAAGTAACACTTGAACTCCTTGTGTGTTACGCCCCTCTTGGCTGCCGTGAGCTGTACCGCGGGGTCTAGGCGCGGTATCTGCAAGCACGCATCATTGAACCGTTTGACATAGCCCTTGATGGATTCTCCTTCCCTCTGGACTATCTCGGTTTGGGGACACCGCTTGCTGGTAACGAAGTGCGCGGTGAAGACTTGCATGAACTGGGTCCAGCTTCTTATCGACCCGGGGGCCAGGTTCCTGTACCAGGTGCGGGCCACTCCCCTGAAGGTGGTAGTGAAGGCCACACACATGCAGGACTCGCTGGCTCTCGCCAAGTGCATTTGGGACTGGAAAGCATCGACGTGGTCATTGGGGTCAAAGGACCTATCATACTTGTCTAGGGGCGGGAGTTTGAAATCTTTGGGCATGGAAACCGCAAGGAGTTCTGATGACAGGGGGGAAGGAACTAAAAGAATAGGGGCAACTTTCATCTCGTCTGAGCTTGTTTCTTCTTTACCTCGGAGCTCGGGCAGGATGCGGGTGGTAGTTCGGCGAATTCGCCGGCGTCTTCGCTGCTGCTTAGAAGGCCTGGTATTTGCGCTACTTGCCTCGGTGTTGCCGAGCTCGATCGGCCTGGACTATTGGTAGTCCGCGGCCAGGACACCGAATTGGTTCTCTACGAGCGGGAGCTCGAACTTAGAATGCCGAGGTGCTGACTTGATCGGCAAGGAGGTTCCTGATCCGCCGGCAAGCTGCGAGGCATGGGTAATTAGTCTTTCCCTCCTGCCCGCGGATGAGGCTTGGCTCCTGGAGGGGTTCTGAAGTTGGGAGGCTTCCCCTCGGTGAAGGCGCCCGCCCTGAGGTGAGGGCTTGACCGGCTTCGGAGCAGGGTGCCGAGGTGGGAGCTGTGGTTGGTTCAGAGGCAGTTGGGGGAACTGCTATTGATAGTGACACTGAGAAATGTGGTGTAGTACTTGTTGCTGATGGAGCTGATGTTGCTGGAACTGCTGCATTTGGGCTTGCATTGCCTGCATGCATTGCATCAAGTCATCAGGCTGGTTCTGACTGGTCGCCAAAGGGACAACGGTTGGTTCGGCGAAAGTTGTCTCGATAGGGGGGAAGGGAAGCTGCTCAAAGGACATCTGCTACAATATTTCATTGAGAAGAAGACTACATCAAGTTGTGCTCAAATTGTATTTATATTTTAAGGACTTGATGTAATCAGTTGCATGATGCAATTTTAAATGCTCAACAAGACTAAGTTCAATATAATAAACCTTAGAAACCATTAACTAAATGTGTTTTGTTCCTAAGATTTCCTAAGCATAAACAAGATATTACAATCATAAAAATAAAATTTTCAAAACCAATGAAAAAGATCTCCCAAACCTTTGGATTAGAACCTCCATTGTTTAAGTGTTGTGTTGTCAATTAGGCAAGTTTAGCCTAACGGTGAAGCACAATCGACTACACCAGACAACATAGTTAATTAACTACAACAACCAAAGGATAAAATGTTAAGTCTATGAAGTATAATCAACTACCCCAGAAAATATAGTCAACTAACTATGACAACCAAGGAATGAAATATGCCATATCTGAAAAGACTAGTCAACTATACAAAAAAAAAACATAGTTGACTAACCTAAATAGATTAAGTTCAAGTGATACTAGTTGATTGATAAGGAGGAACCAATTGACTAAGAGAGAAAAAGATTCCTTCCTTCTTCAAGTAGCTAACTAGCAAAACTAATAGTTGGATACTTTGAAGAAATTTGATTGTTTGGAGGCTCTAACGCGTATTGCCATCTATGGCCTTCCAACATGTTGGGGAAATTTCAAATCATTTCCAAGGAAGGACAAATCCCTCCAACAACTAGAAAATGGTCACTTGCCCCCCAAACCCCTATAAATAAAGGAGTTCTATGTAATTTAAATCAAGAAGCAAGAAATTGAATCAAGGCTTATGAGAAACAACCTGAACTTGCCATGCATGTAGTTTATATAGTTGTTTTCAAAGAGAGGAAGCTAGCTATAGTCATTTTGTTAATGAGATCCTTGAGTTTTAATAATGTTCGAGGTGAGCAAAGTTGAGAAATTTTTGAGCTTGTACAGTCACACCCATCTATTGGAAGTCTCTTCACTGAGCTAAGAATCTATTGAGAACTCTAGCAACTGAATAGTTTGAGCTTGTATTATTAGATATACCTCCTATCTAGAGGCTTCTCTTGCTTGTCAATATGCTCTTGTGCTAAAGAAAGAAGTATCTTTGAGTAAGTAGGTGTTCAAAGTTTTTGAACACCATTAAAATCTTATCGGCACCTCTATTAAGCCCAACTACAAAGTCTGATAGGCACCCAAAAGCCCTATTAGTTTACGTTAGGTTGGCAACCACAAAGTCCAATTGGTTCAAGTATTGTAGTTACCCATAAAGTCTTGCTAGTGTAAAAGGCTTTGTTGGAGCCCAAGAAGTCTAGCTAGTAAGTAGAAATCCTTAGTGGTAGTTTGAAGTAGAGGACGTAAGCAGAGTTTGCTGAACCTCTATAAAGTTCTTATGTGCCTTATGTGTTTGTTTTTCTTTTCTTCAGGTTTTATTATTTGCTAACTTGATCTCAAATAACTGTAATACTTTGAGTTGGGCAAAGATGGATTATATTTATAACAAGCAAGAGTTGTAATGATATATATCCTCCAGCTTGAGAGGGAGTGTTAGAAATAACATAAAGAGTCTTGAAATGGGTAGAACAGTCTTGTTTACTCAAAATGTATTAAGCAGGGCAATGAAGTCCTTTTATGTCATGATTTTCATTATAAATAGAAGTTAGGCATAGGTAGGAAACTGAGGCCATATTTGGTTCAATTCTCATTCTTTCTCATTTTTACCCAAGATGAAATTCTAAAATGGAAAATAATGGATAAAAATACGTAGAATGAGAAAATATTTTTATGAACCAAACATTTTTTTCCTAAAATTAAATTCTTTTCAGATTGACAAGTGTCCTATGTTGCTCATTTTCATTCTTCAAAAAAAATTGTCGGTATTCACAAACCACTAGCCTAGATCTCCAATAGACAATGTTTACCAATTGGCATAGATGTTTTGTAAAAGTACTTCCGTAAAAGTGCTTTTATAAAACTACTTTCATAAAAGTACTTCCATAAAAGTGCTTTTATAAAAGTACTTTCATAAAAGTGCTTTTATAAAAGTGCTTTCCAAAAGTGCTTTTGTAAAAGTACTTCTATAAAAGTGCTTTCATAAGTACTTCCATAAAAGTGCTTTTATAAAAGTACTTTCATAAAAGTGTTTTCGTAAAAAGTACTTCCATAAAAGTACTTTCATAAAAGTACTTCGATAAAAGTGCTTTTATAAAAGTACTTTCGCAAGTGATTTTATAAAAGTGCTTTCGTAAAAGTACTTCCATAAAAGTACTTTCATAAAATTACTTCATAAAAGTACTTTTGTAAAAGTGCTTTTATAAAAGTACTTCAATAAAAGTACTTTCATAAAGTGCTTTTATAAAAGTAGTTTTGTAAAAGTGCTTTCATAAAAGTACTTTCATAAGTGTTTTTATAAAGTATAATGTGCTTTTATAAAAGTACTGTTGTAAAAGTGCTTTAGTAAAGTACTTTTATAAAAGTGCTTTCGTAAAAGTTCTTTTATAAAAGTACTTCCGTAAAAGTGCTTTTATAAAAGTACTTCCGTAAAAGTGCTTTTATAAAAGTACTTCCGTAAAAGTGCTTTTATAAAAGTACTTTTGTAAAAGTGCTTTGTAATAGTACTCCCATAAAAGTGCTTTCATGTAAAAGTATTTTCGTAAAAGTGCTTTCATAAAAGTTCTTTCATGTAAAAGTAATTTTATAAAAATACTTTCGTAAAAGTACTTTTGTAAAAGTGCTTTTACAAAAGTAAACATCTATGACAACAATTTTATAGGTAGAGTTTCCTCAAGGAATAAATTGAGAAAGATGGGGCATGATTATTTTTCATGCTGCAAGTTAGTCAATTTTTGTGCTATGAGGCTGATTTTTCATTCTAAAAAGAATTTGGTTGTTGCCAAAACTTTTGTAACCAAACACTCTAATATTAATCATTCTTGCCCATTCTAGCCTAGAATGAGCAAGAATTAAGAGAATGAGGCCCAGAGCAGCGAACCAAACATGGCCTGATTTTCTCTTTCATACCAGTTCTCTTTTTCTCCTCTCATTTTTCTCTTTTCTTTCCCTTTCCTTTTATCTCACTTTCTAAAGAAGATAGCAAGTTACATGCTTATTTGATTACCACCCATTCATGGACTCTAAGGCCTTCTTTGTTTTCTAGGAAGAAAGGGGCGGGTAAGTTATTGGTAGGTTCCATGAAAAAGAAATAAATCTACATTTATTTTCTGATACGTGATCGGATAATATTATCCATTCAATAATGTCACTTTTTTGGATAAATCAATCATTATACACTTTTATCTAACAAATAAAAGAATACTTGTAAGTATTCTTATCTAAGTATTTTCCAAAAAACACTTGCCCGATAATTGCATTTATCCAAATAAGTCATTTACTGAGACACAAATGAGGCCTAATATTACAACCTTAATGCTAATTTAATAGAACATCATGATTATGTTCTATGTTAGAATAGTGGCAATTATACATTCAAATATCTCTACACACTCTTTCAATATCTAACAGCATGTCTGCTCTTTTTAAATGACGCTGTTGGGTCTGTGATCAGTAGTTAGGAACGACGGTGGCATTTGAGCCCAGATATGGGGTTTTATTCCCTTCAACTTAGGATACATTGCAACATATTTTCAATGCATGAACTCTATTCCACAAGACAAAAGTTTATATTTAGCCTGCACCAAATAATAAGATATATATATAACATTGCACTAGCTATCCACAGAAATCGTTCATGATCCATAGAAACAAGCAGAACACTGTATATTTTTTTAGTTGCCCGAAACATTGAACCACTGATACAATATCCAACTGTTATCAATGAGACCTTGATAGGGAAGGACCTCAACAAATAGGAGTACAAACAAATGAATAACAACATAGATAACAAATTTTGCACCATCAAAGTTTCTTCTCAAATCTCTCTCTCTAGTAGGTAATAGATTTATACAGTAAGATCTTGATGGTTTCTATGGATTTAAGTAGAACTAACTCAAGAGAACGTAGACCTCTGAATGACTGCAACCAAAACTATCCCTGGTCTTCATCTGCCTTGTTGATGAACAAGCTGCCAGAATTCAATTCTGACCTAACAACCCAATCTGCTGATTTGTCTGGTCGATAGTTCTCCATTTCAGGTGGTTTCACATTGACTTGCTGGGTTCTCGCACTACCTCCTCTCCCTCCTCTAGAGTCCCAGGACCAGGAACACTACAGCTTGAAAATGAGTCATTACTAACTTTTCTGCGCATTGAAGCTTCATGCAGTTGCAAGACATACTCCAAGTTCCACAAGACATCTCCCATCGTGGGGCGGTTCTTCCCTTCATCAGCAAGGCATTTCTCTGCAATCTCCCCAAATTTCTTTAATGATTCTGGGGAGTAATTCCCTTCAAGTCGTGGATCCACAATGGTCTCAAGTGATCGTTGCTTTTGCCAGTGGAGTGCCCATTCTGCAAGATTGATCTGGTCTTTTGGCAAGCTTGGATTGATAACTGGACGTGCACAGACAACTTCAAACAGCACTACACCAAAGGAATAAACATCAGACTTTTCAGTCAATTGTTGTCTTCGAAAGTATTCAGGATCAAGGTACCCAAAGCTTCCTTTTACTGCAGTGCTAACATGGGTATGTTCTAAGGAAGGACCTGTTTTCGACAACCCAAAGTCAGCCATCTTTGCAACAAAGTTATCATCCAACAGTATGTTGGTTGTTTTAACGTCCCTGTGGATTATACTCCTTTCTGCCCCTGTGTGAAGGTAATGAAGTCCACGAGCAGCACCAATGCACACTTCCAGTCGCTGCTTCCATGTTAATGGTGGGAGATCACTTCCAAAGAGATGACTCCTAAGGGTTCCATTTGCCATATACTCATACACCAAGATCATTTCATTGTGTTCATCACAGAATCCAATCATGGAAACCAGGTGCCTATGCCTGAGTTTTGATAGCATTTCAATCTCTGTCTCAAATTCTGCCAGGCCCTGCTCAGATTGTGGATTGGCCCGCTTGATTGCTGCCAGGATACCATCATCAATTTCACCCTTGTAAACCTTCCCAAACCCTCCAACTCCAATTACCAATGATTCATCAAAATTATTTGTTGCAGTTCGTATCTCTGCCAGTGTGAACCGCCTGCCAGTTCTAATAGAAACCATGGATCCATTTAGATTCGGATTACCCCCTAATAATTTGGATCCCTTGGCATCAGTAGTGCTGTTTACAATGCTACCATGGAGGGAAAGTGGGCGCCATCCAGAAGGATTGGTTTTAGTACGACACATTTTTCTCCTCCGCTTGCACAAACAGAAGAATAGGGTACATAAAGCTGCAAGAAAAGCTGTTGAAGCTACACCTGCTCCAATACCTAACCAAAGAATCCAACTTGTTGTAGTTTTGCCTTTCCCTGCACTCCCACTTGGACCAGATCTCTCTGATACATAAGCAAGATTCCCATTTCTACTAAGCTTGAAAATCTCCAATCCATTCAGGAGTGCATCAGTCCCTGCAGCACCTGCAGCTGTCTCAGGTCCCAGTTGAATCCAAAGGCTTTTGATCTGTGAGGACAACGTTTCAAGGTAATCCTGATGATATGCCTTATTCATTCCCCTTGCACGAACAAATACATCAAAGTTCTGTGCTGCAGTACTGTTGTTTATGTAGATCCTGAAGATCCGCTGGTTTGCCTTGTCATACTGAAGTTCACAGAAATGTAAGCGGATTAAATAATCAAAGTTAGGATCCACATCAAATTTCCATGACATGTTGATCCTCTTCTCCAGGACTTCAGCATTGACCATGGATCTTGCTGTTTCATACACTTGAAGAGGTGCAATCAAAGAATCATTTGTGGATGAATAAGAAATGGTTGATTTGTTTCTCATTTCAGACCCATCCATTGGAATGAACATGTAGTTGAAGTCTTGTGCCCAGCTTCTAGAAAGATTCTGATCCTGGTTAGGTAAAAGCTCAGGACCTCCAACATTCAATCTATACATGGTTTCAATCCCCAATCCAACCAAATTCAAGCTGCTTTTTGCTCCATTTCCACCTACTTTACTTACAGAGTCCTCAAACAGTTTGTTGGTAACCGGAATAACTTCAATTGCATTGACGAAAGCAAATGATCCTTTGGTGGGTGTGAACCTGATAACAATCTCATTTGAAATGACATTAAAGAAGTATTCTTTCACCAAGGATAATGAATTCGGCTTCCTCCATGAAATTTCCCCTATGACACTGAACTCAGACAATAGCTTTAGACTGTTTGCTGTAACATCGAACAAAGACTCACTCATATTGTAGTTCTCAAAAGAGAACGGATGGAAATGGAGCCTAAAAAAATAGTTGCCGGGATCCACCGGAATTGTATAATTGGAATTTTCAGGGAATACCCGTGCAGACTTATACAATTTGTCATAGATTGAACTTTCAGAGGCTGTGTCATTCAAAGCTGCAATCCCTGGAGAACCGAGGGTGACGTTGTTATCGGGGACCATATCACCGACCCATGACCTACCATTGACATTGATTGTGGAATTCGTACCACAATCTATCAGAAACGATTTCTTCTCAGCTTCTCCAGTTCGAACCAAAATAGAAATGCAGACCAGACAAATCAGACCCAAAACCCCCATCCTTAGGGCTTCTTAGGAAGAAGTTAAGCCACAAGTTGGGGTTTTCTCTATGACTACTGAAAGGAAAAAATGGTAGAAAAAGAAAACCTTACGTCGAACCAATTAAAGTTCAAGAAAAAGGCATATGTAAGAAAACTCAACTTATGAATCAGTCAAACAACTTTATCTCCACTAACTGGAATTTTCCTTTTTAACAAACTTAAATACGAAGTTCTCCAAAAACCCAGATGAGGAAAATCTCTATCTAATCTACCATGCCAATCTTCAAATCTGATTTTCTACATAATGAATGAATGAATGAATGAATGAACAAAGAACATGAACAATAGAAATTCAGGTTTCAGCAGAAACGTGAACTTATCTCCGGTAAATCCATCTGGGTTTTTCCTTTTCCTGTATTTGCACCGAATACTATAAACCCAGCTTAACTCCTTCAGTTATCAGCCAATCTTCGATCAAGATAACAGATTTCTTTCCTTTCCTTCCGAAAAGAACTTGCAGATCTGAACCCAGAAGAGCCGAGAAAAGAAGCAGCCAAACCCTTGAAAAAAAAAAAATCTCTAAAAACAACACGCCAATGAACTAACTGATCAATCTTGCTTTGCCTTATCAATGAGTCTGAAAAGACCAGAGAAAAGATAACAAGTTGAACCTTCTGGACATGAGATCATGATATATGCCTCTTTCTCTCTCCCTCTCTCCCTTTTTTTAACAGAGCAAAGAGTCTTTGATGGAGCCACAACAAATCTAGCTTCCACTACTTCTTTTAACTTTTGCTCACAAAATTACTTAATCCGATCACTCTATTTCATTTTTTTTAATTAGTTTAGTGCGGCAGCTGGGGCTGCCAGTGATAGACCTCCATTATTTTGAGGGGTGGGGCACATGCTATTGTCCCGAACATGATAAACACTAACAGGACATATTTTATTAGTATTCCGAAATTACCCCTGTATTCTCTCTTATTTATTACCTTGCTTTGGCCATTATTGCCCTTTAAAATACCAAGGAGCAAAACACTTGTTTACTAGATTGCATGTCACCAATTAACAACCATGGGTCGCCTCGAAGAAAAAAAAAAAAAACTAGATTGCAAATTTTATCAAAAATCTCCAAAACAACCGCAAATATTTTAGATCTTAGAAGTTTTTCCAATTTGCTTCAAAAGGGGGAACATAGGTATGGTTTTTCCACTTTCTTTGATAATATTTTGTGTTTTGTTTGGATGGTTAGAAACACTTCTATTTAAGTTGATCTAATCCCTTTTATTGAAAATGTTACATTTTTTGTGGTATAAGTAAGTATATTTATATGATTTATTGAAATTTCTTGTAAGATGTTTATACTTTTTTTTGTAATTTTTGGAAAATAATAATATTTATTCTTTTTTTCATTATTTTGTGTGATTTAACCATAAAGATTTACCATCTATGGTTGATCTACCATTATCCTTTTTTTTTATAGAAATCTCATCTAAAATATTTATTTTGTTTTATTTTTTTGTAAGTTTTACTTTTGAACAAAAAATATTTATTTTTTCTAATTTTTATCGTGATCTAACTATAAATGCTTACTATGTTGTAAATCTATGGATGATCTACAATATCCATAGAGTTATTTAGATTTTCGGTTACATATTTATTTTATATTTTTGTTGTAATTTTCAAAATAAAAATTAGTTTCAATAAGAATAAATAATTGTTTAAAAGCTATAGAAAATGTTTGATTAAATAATTGTTACATAATTGAATTTCAAATGTTGCATAATTATCTGATTCAATAATTGTTTAATTGGATTAAATAACACTTGAAAAATGTTTAAAACAATTACAAAACCATATTTTTTAATAACACTTGCCAGCACCCGATTTTTGCTCGGTCTGCCACTTGAACCTCCAATTTACCTCGAATGTCCGATCATACCCTTTCGATCCTTCTGAAACACCCAAAAATCCCAACTTTTACCCCAAAAGCCCTTAGATTCACCGTTAAACCTTCTCGATACCGATCCGATGGCCCCAATCGACCCCCACTTACACCTCAACTGTTAGATCTGACACGATCATCAGACACAAAACTTCTCAAAATACCTACCCACAAAATTTGAACTCAAGATTCCCCTGTTCATCCACCCGTCAAATCGAGATTCCATTTCAACCTCTCTCATTAGCCTAAAATGCTTAGAACCCAAATTCCCTTGATCTTGACACATTCAAACCAATCATACCACACCATTAAACTCTGAACACATCAAAACACCTGCCCATAAAGCTTCAGCCCTAGATTCCCTCGCTTGCCCTTCTATCAAGCCAAGATTTCGTTCCAAAACATCCATTTGACATAAATTCCTATGATCTTGACTCTCCAAGACTAATCAGACATCTCCATCATATCTTGGACACCTCCAAACATCCACCTATAAAAATTCATCCCAAAACACCTTTGCTTACCCCTCCATCACACTAAGATTCAATTTTAAGGCTCCAAATCGATCAAATCAAGCCCTTTTCCAGATTTGCTAGATCAGGGCTCATTTAGGCTGATCTAACCTACTAATCAGTCCAAAACCCCCAAAAACTTCACCCTACCAATTTTCACTAAAAATACCCCCCATTTACCTTCAGCCATACCAAGATTTTTCAAGGCTCCAGATTGGCCGAAACCCAAGTCCTTTCGATCTGAACCCATTTGACCCGATCTGATTTTTCCATTCACCTCAAACTATCGAAAAACCCTACCTTGAGAAGTTTCATCCAAAACAGACCCTGTTTGCCCCTTAATTACACCTAGATTCCGTTCCAAGCCCCCCAAACTAGCCGAATCAAACCTTTTCCAGATTTTTTTGATCTAGGCCTATTTGGCCCAATCCTACCCCACCAAACAACTCAGGGCCTCCAAAAACCCCACCCTGTCAAAATTTAGTCAAAAATACCCCCATTTACCCATCTATCAGGAAAGATTCCCTTTCCACCAATCTCACTAACATATTGACACAAAACCCCTCTTTATGATCAAACCAATCTCAATCCTCTTTTATCTTTAAACCCGGAACCACCCATCATCGAACCAAACCCCAATTTGATCCATTAAACCTTTTTTGGCCCGCGTGAGCAAAGCTGCCACCACCCTCGGTTTTTCTTAAAATTGTGAAACTGCCCCTGGGTGTTCTTTAAAAAGAGACTGGGATCAAACCAGCCCCCCACAATATTGCCCCCTACAACGTATATCATCGGGAGATGTTCTCCATACACGGCGGAGATGTGGGACGTTGTGGGGGCAATCTTGTGGGGGCTGATTTGAACTAGAAGAGCTCTGGGAGAGCGAGAGCAAAGAAAAGGGAGAGAGAGAGCGAAGAAGGAAGAGCGGAGAGAGCGAGTAAGAGAGAGAGAGGCAAGAAGAACGAGAGTCGAGAGGAGAGTTCTGGAAGGGAGAGAACGCCATTCGTCCCCTGCTCCACGGCGGCGGTGAACAAAGAATAACCCGGCGCAGTGAATAGTTGTGGTCGCCAATTGGATTCCGGCGGATCCTTATCATTTCTGTGAACTGCGTCCTGGAAATTGTCATCAGTATCAGTCGCTGCTAGCAGTACCAACCAAATTCATGCCATAACACAGACCCAGTTGAAGCCCAACTTCATCTGGTAAATCTCTTTTCGTTTCTTTGTTTTGCTTCTCGGCTGACACCCTCCCTTGCTCAAATGCGATATTCAATCGCAGACCATGAGAGACGGCAGTGAAATGTGTTGATGTTTTATTTCTTTCTACTTTCCTTCGCTGGCGTTCAGTGGCTTGATTTCCTTCTTTCTATGTTCTTTTCGTTTTCTGTTGCTTCCGATGTGAATTAGTATAGGATCCAAATTCGTGGTTTAAGTTAGTAATGGGGTCACCACCGAAATCCCCTGTTTTCTGATTCTCTCGCGTGAATATTGATTAAGAGTAGGGTTGTTATTCTTTCCTTACCTTCTGTTTATAGGATTGTTCTGTGCTATACTGAGAATGCCTTAGTCGTCATCTGTAGTTTATAATCCTTATTGATGCTGCACCACTCTCTCGTAGTTGTTAAGTATGGTTTTCACTCTTTTGCTCTATTTTGTTTTAGAAACAAAGTTCAAAGCGGCATGTAGTTTTTCAGACGTCTTAGCTAATGTTGTTCTTCGTTAATTGCATCTGCTACTCTGAAGACCATGCTTACATTACATGATAGTGCCTGACAAGTCTCAGATTTAATTCAATACCATTCCCTCTCCCATCCAAGTCTTACCCACACTGGTTTGAACCCGTGCCTTATGTTTTGGAGTCACTATTTAAACAAAGTATTTTAAAACCATTTTCGGATGTCCCATCACCTCCATTTCCTAATCTGATGGGTGGCGACTCCGTTCCAARCCCAAGTGGCAAGTGACCCATTTTTCCAACGCTCACAACACTTAAAAATGTTTTAAAAATTATAGAAAAAAGGCATTGATACATTTTACCTAATGATCTATAATTTGAATGTGAACATAATTATGGCTTCAAAAATATATGAAAATAAATGTTATTTGTTTAATTGGATTACATAACACTTGAAAAAAATGTTTGAAAAATTATAGGAAAAAGGATTTCCTAGTAAAACTTGAAAACCTGTTTAATAATAATTGAAATTAGATAATTTATTTAATAATTGAATATGGATTTGATTCACGTAAATATGACGGATACTTGGATTTTACAAATGTAAATGTCAACATGATATTTTATAAACTTGAAGTGTTTTTTTAATTACTTTTTTACATTTATGATTTATTATTTATAAGTATTTTGTCGGTTATTATTCTAAAATTCTAAATTTTAATTAATTTTTATGCATATAAATTATGATAGTATGATATTTGGAATTTTGAATTTGATCATTTAAGTTATCCACATGGCACTTAAAAGACAAAGAAGAACAAGATATCAATTGGAGAAATGATAAAAATGTTTATGGAAATCAACTTCATACAAAATGTAACTTTTATAGGCAAGTGATGAATGGTGGTGGTGTGACCTATTTGAAACATCACTTGGTAAGAGGACATCCAAATACTGTTTTTTTGCCCCAAGTCCCCAACAGAAAATTCCAAGGCAATGTAAAAGCATCTCAAAGAACAAGAGATGTTGAAACAACAACAAGAAAAGAATAAAAAATGATAAGAACATCGAGGCCTAGGGATGGTGATAATGATGAGGAGGGACAAGATATAGAAGTAAGGTCTTAACACTTTACACATATGACGATGACATGCAAAACAAAAAGCATATGATATAGAAAAACATGCATAGCGAGCTGCACAACGGGAAGAAGAACAAATACAATGATTTCAAAGAAGTACATTCCTATTTAGAGATTCAGAGTATCGAGGGGGTCGTGATTCATCATAAGCATCAATGTATAAGGGTAAGAGCAAATTGTTCTATATGCAAAGCATTAAAGTATTTGGAAAATTAAAACCCTCCAAAAAATCATCAAGTAGAGACACTCCTAGCATTTAGGAGATGGATAGATTTTTTTAACCTCTAATAAGATGCTAAACAAGAATTATATCCAGGGTGTACAAGATTCTCAAAACGTTCCTTCATTTTGAGGCTATTTGATATAAAGTATTTGTATGAATGGGGTAATAAGTTATTCACTGCATTGGTTGAATTGTTCAAAGAGGTGCTCCTAGATGGTAATCAAGTACCAAGCTCTTTCTATAAATACTGAAAAGATTATGAGAAACCATAGACTTAAGTATGAAAAGATCGATGCAT